TTTTAATATGCGCACACCCACATTTAGAGGATAATATTAAGAAAAAAAAAACATTAAAAGTTTATTTCAGGATTGACAACAAATATGATACGATTTAGAAGCAAAAGAAAAGAGGATCAAAATGTTTTTTCTCTTTATTATTACAATCCTATATTTTTTCTCTCTTGTGATTAATGCAGTTTGTTGAAGTGAATATTTGAACAGTAGGGTGGAGAGAACATCACCATATATGAATAAAAAATATTGTAAAGCTAATCAAGCAAACAGGACTATTTTGAATACGTTGTTGACGACGTGTCAATGTTTGACTATCGCGTATTCGTTCAGTGAGAAAGAAGAAAAACGCATCAAGTCTATGAACACAAAAGCAATTTAGAATGAAGTAATCAGAAAACAGTGAGATGATGCTTTTCATTGCTCATGTTGATGTTATTCCAAGGACAAGACCTTGACTAAAACATGATTAACTGACAAGTTGACAGAAAAAAAAGAAAGAAGACAAACAACGTCTAGTGCTCAGACAGATCGGCAAATGAACGATCTGTTTTCCGAGACGAGGAGAAAAAGAAATCTTCCGATAACAAATTCTAAATCATTATCTATTCATAGAATGTCTCCTAGTTCGAGATTCTTTCTGTTATTTTTTGTCCTCTCTCAAAAAAATTAACATTCTCGACTGTATTCATTCATTCATTCATTATTTTGCTACAATCATTTACTGAACAACCTCTTCTGCATCTCGTTTTGTTTTTATAACAAACCTGGTTTTTTATTGCTATAATCTATATATATATATAATGAAATATTCTTTCTACGATAACATGATGATAGATTAAAGAGAAAAAAAATTGATGCTAAATATTCTTGTCAAGGATACTAATGTTCTATTATATCTCAAAAGATAATAATACTTGTGATGAATGATCGACATAGATCTTTTTTTGTCGAACAATTATCAGTTTGACTAGATTATGTAACTAACATATACATAACTCCACCTGTTTCTCTATTTGCCGAAGGTGGTACTAGTTATCGACCTTGTTTGCCCTCATATCTATATATATTACTAGAAAAAGTCATATTATGCTAACCTTCGATATGCAGTTCCTTGTTTAGTCGACACATAATTTAGCAATGACATTTTTTGCTTCCGTTCCCTATTTATTCTAATGTCTTTTTAAAGAAACACGTAAACGATGGATTAGAAAGATGAGTACCATGTGTATAGAGATATTTTTCTATATCGAACATGTATTCTAATTAAAAACAGTGTCCTCACATCGGTCGACATTCATTATTTGAACAAGAAACATGGCCGCTGTGCCACTGAAAGTTCAACGTACATACAAATGCGTGTGCTCATACCCTTAGAATCGATTGGTCATGGGGCGGCAACTGCTGCTATTTATGGCCTACGGAGAAATATAGAAAGAATGATGTAATGGTTATCGAGATGCCACGCGTGCATCATTACATGACACATAGAGGGTCAAATGCGTGCACACACATATATATAAGCGTATACATTCATATTATTTCTTCGATTATAGTTGTATGCACATAAAGTCGCATCATCTTTTTTTAATTATTTTACTAGTGACTTATTTCTGCAAAAAAGAACACTCAAATCTGTAAGACACACTTCTTCTTTTTTTTTTTCTTCTTCTTACCTCATCAATCATTTGTTGTTCTTATGCAAAAAGAACTAAATCCCAAATGATAACATCAATAACAAAAGATGGACATGAAAAGGAAAAAAATCAAGCAATGATAGAGAAGCAATAAAAAAATTTCTTTTCGTTCCCTATAGAAATCACATATAAATACAATTCTATTAGACACAAAAAAATACCGATTTATACATCGTATAATCGCTTCGTATTTATGTCTATATTTATTCATTGTAATAACAAAAAAAAAAGAAAAGAAAAATGAGATTTAGATCCGATTTGCATGAGAAACAAAATGTATACGTATGCGTTCGTATAAAACCTTTACAGACGATGACAATCGTACTAATAAAAAAATAAAGGTCATTTGTCATCATTGCAATCATCAGATATTCACATACATATACACACAGATGTGATTATGTAATATAACAGAGAAAAGACATTATACTACCAAAGTACAACAAAAACAACGAATAGAAAAAGAAACAATTCACTGTTTAAAGAACACTTATGTAAAATTTGAAAGAAGAAGAAGAAGAAAAAAAATACTATGAGTTAAGATCACGTTCATCAATCAATAATATTGGTTGACGTTGTTCGTTGAAAGAATTCGTTATTGATGATAAATTATCATCATCGTCAACTAATAGGTCGGCATAAGATTTGCCTTGAATAAAATGTTGTTGTTTTGCATTGACTATTGTTGTTGAATCAGTTGAAAAATATGGAAAACGAGAATCATCTAAATAATAAATAAATCATAATTATTAATCATTATATATACAAAACGAAAGAACATCATTTCTTTTCATACTTATTTGTAAATTTGTTTTTAAATAATTTATTAATACTAATCCGCATGTTGTTATTGAAAATCCAACAAAACATGCTATTATATCAACAAATGCTAATTTTTCCCATTCACGAAAAAGTATACCCGATGTTATTAATACACATGTTGTAAATAAAACATAATAAACAGTTGTAACAATAGGTGTAGAAAATAGATCTAATGCACGATTTAAATAAATCATTTGTACAAGAATACAACAAATAATCACTATTGCACATGAAAATGTTAATACTTTTGAATATGTATATTGATGATTATAGATTTCTTTTAAACCAATACCAAGACCTTTACATGCTGTTACAGTAAATGCACC